CACTCGTTCGCTGCGCTCACTCGTGAGATATTTAGTTGGACACTAGAAGATAAAATTCGTATCCACAAGCGGGCAAGTAATATTCTGTTTATTTTGTTAACATACTAATGACGACGTTTTTGACGATTTCCGAACATTTCCGACCACTTTCCGAAGATTTTCCAAAATTGTTCCGAAGGCCAGACGAACACTTCCGAACATTTCCCGAAGCTTGTCGAAGACGACCGAAGAAGATCCGAAGATGTTTTGATCATACATCAACAAATTTAAGTGTAGTTAAAGGGACAAAAGAAAAATGTTATCAAAAAGGAATGATATCTTCACAGTGTGAAGGATAAAAATAGTATCTTCACTGCGCGCGATGAAGATATGATTTTTTAGTAAAAGGAAAAATCCTGGTATTTCACTGGTGTTTATGGCTATCTATCATCTCATATTCAATGCGCGCTCGTGGAATAATTGGGAAATACTCGAGTATAAACAGAGCAGTTTCGATGCGACAAATACAAAAAAAAAGTAAAAAGAAAAGAAAAACAATGCTAACCTCGGTGGATTTTAATTAAAGGCCTAACAATGATTAGTAAACATCACTTTCTTTAATAAATGATGCTTTTATCAATAGATTGTTTTAGCATATTGATTCTGCAACCATTTTTATGCATGTATAATTTCTGATTCAATTCTTGTAACAATTTAAGCTTGAGCCAGAACATATTTCAACTCATGGACGGAATCGTTGGCAACCGAGGGCACTTTTTCCCCTCGACCATTTTTAGTGAAACTGCATTTTAAAAACAGCTCACTGAAATCAAATAAACCCTTTTCATTGCAGTTATTTGCAGCTTAGGCAGAACAAGCACTACTTTTAGTGGGTTCTTGACATTTCTTATAATGATTTCCTTAAAAAAATTTCTCTGCTAATTGATTTGGCAGGTGTTAAGAAAAATGGACAATATATTCTCTCAACTGTATTTTAAACGTGCTTTGTATGTGCTTTTAAGGACGAGTTGGGGGAATCGATCATTTCATCATTTGAGTTTTGCTGTACGAAGTAAATTCATTAGCACACTCGCTTAAGAAATAACAGATTTATGAATGAGGCAATCCTTTATTGTACATCATGATAACAGATGATAACACATAGGTTATGAAAGTTTTTTTGTAATAACCTAGGAGATGACAGAATCGAAGCTGTCCTTCATCCGGACCTTCATAAAGGCTTCGCACAATAATGACAGCCACAGGCTCCAAACCTGTTAGCCTTCTTTGTTGTGTAATGTCAACAAAACTTTGCCAAAGGGATGTTAAATTTTACAAGCTGCATCAGTTATTTTAACCTTTTGCGTGGATGAAAAGGAAACAGTAGGACTAGTGGGATTAACCTAACTCGACCAGATACACCTTTGGTGCAAACAAAAGACGTTTAGCTAAAGGGTAAGTGTTGTTTCAATATGTTTCTTATCCTTTTATAAACTATATTTCGGTGGGGTTAATTAAAACCCTTTTACCTGGCTTTTTAATATGTAAAAAATTCTCACGAACTGGCGATCATGTGGAACACACGCCAGTAATGACAGCTACAGGCTCCAAAACTGCTAGCCTTCTTTGTTGTGTAATGTCAACAAAACTTTGCCAAAGGGATGTTAAACTGTACAACCTACATCGGTTGTTTTAACTTTTTGGGTGGATGAAAAAGAAACGGTACAGTAGGCTTAACCTCCATTGACCAAACACACCTTCGTTGCGTAAGACGTTTAGCTTAAGGGTAAGTATTGGTTCAGTATGTTTCTCGTCCTTTATAAACTATATTAAAATGAGTTAAATTAATTAAAACCCTTTTATCTGGCATTTTAACGTATAAAATTTTGTCACGAATTGGCAATCGTGTTGGACGTACGCTCAGACAAGTTTTTATTGTAAACACTAGCTCCAGGCTGCTGAAAGTCTTTCTGCGACGAAATCCTTTTGGGCACTTTGTATTCTTTCATGGCTTGTCATTCCATTTCACGATCACAACAAAACGAGCTTTAAAAAAACAAACACTCGAGATGGTGTTTTGTTGGTAGATTAAACTTTAATTTAGGAACGAAACACGGTCTGATCTGGAGATAACTTTTAGATGAGGTGGCCTCGAATATCCAGTGGCTTTGTTCTCCTCAATAATTTTTATTAAGAATTAACACTCTTTTTAATTTTTCGTTTGCTTCAGTTAGCTTTCGTGTCTGCCATTAAAGCGATGAACGAGGCAGAACTTAAAGACAAGAATGTCAGCCACGCCTTGGAAAAAGGACAGGATCCCCTGGGACGCTCTCCATTACAACTTGGTATCGAGGTAACGATCGCAGTTTTGATATGCGTCGCCTGCATCGTTGGAAACTCATTAGTTGTGATCGCCATTCACCGAACTCCGCGTCTCAACACGATAACTAATATGCTAGTAGAGAATCTCGCGTGGACAGACATCTCCATGGCAACGTTGCACCTGCCATTTTGGATCGCGAGCATGTACAGTGGACAGTGGCCATTAGGTCACGTGGCTTGCAGGCTCGTTGGCTTCTCGGAACTAGTCTTTGGGACAGCCTCGCTTCAAACAATGGCAGGAATTGCCATTAACCGCTATTTCAGTATCGTCAAAAGGAATTTGTACGTGAAGTATTTTTCAGACCGTAAAACAACTTATTTGATCCTCGCTTTTTCGTGGATCGTTCCTTTAATCGTCTGTAGCCCGCCGCTGTATGGCTGGGGAACGATCGAATACAGCAATAAATTCACCGATTGCACAATGGGCTGGAATGTGAACGACATCTCCTTCGTTGTATTCTTACTCACAATTTCAATCTTAACAACCATGATCATTATTATCTGCTGTTATTTCGCCATCTTTAAGTTCGTAAGGCGAAGCTCCCGTCAGATTCAAAATCACATTCAGTCGGAGATTCATAGTAATCCACACATTAACACAACAACAGCGAAAAGAGAAACGAAGATTATCAAAATCTTTGTTGCTGTTGTTTGCGTCTATGTCCTCTGTTGGACACCAGTCTGTGCTGTCGGGATTTTGGAAATAATCGATCTTGCAGCTCCGCGTTTCGTCTACATCATTGTTTATTATATGATGTTTTCGAGTAGTTTTTGGAATCCGATCATATACGGTGTGTTTAACACGCAGTTTAAGGAAGCTTTCAAGCAAATGTACAACACCCTGAAACCGTCAGAAGCACGAAGCAGCACTACCGAGAGATCGCGTCCCCCTGGAGAAGAACTGGCATTAACCCGACGAATGTTCTGTGCTGAGTCTGAGCAGCAAAATACTTGAGAAAAAAAGCAGAACTCAAGCATTGCCTTCTGTTCTTTATTCATGAAACGTTAAAGTCAAGACTTTCTCATACAGACCAACCAGCCAAATACGGTTAAATATATGAGTCACCAAAATAATTCAAACAATTTATACTGATACAAATGATAGGAAACGGACGATGTGGATTAAGAGAGTTCATCGGAACTCAACGGGGTACGGAGGGGGAGGTCATTATATGGTTATGTGGTCACATAGTCATAATTATAAAGTAATAACAATGCTTTTTATTACAGCTTATTCGATTAACTGACTTATATTACTGCCATAAACTAGACCAAACCTAACACGTGAAAAAACCTAAATTAGTAAATCGATAGTAAATGTCAAGTTAAGCATAACCCTCTGGCCAACTATAAGGTAAACGCATAGTCTGATTGGCTACTCATTGAGCTGTTTAATCGTCTTTGAAATTGGCTTCAGTTTCGCTTCCTCGAGAAGTTTCTGAAGCTTTACATGGTTTATAAATTATTATACATAACAACCTTCTTAATGGCAACTTTAGCTCCTTTATATTCTTTGCTTGTGAAGTGCCTCTCAAGGAAAGGATCAACAAAAGAATAAAAGTTATCTACAGCTCTGAGAATTGTCAGCAGTGTTCTCATGTAAGAATCTGGCTTCGCTCCTTCAAGAGCAATCTTTCGTATCTCACAGGACAGGGTTTTCTTGGGTTCTGAAACACAAAAGAATCAAGTCTCAATTCTGGAGTCAAATGCTTCAGTAGTTATAATTTGGGGGAGAAGGGATGGCGCAATTGTGAGAGCGCTCGCCTCCTACCAGCAACGTGGCCCGGGTTTGATTTCGGCTCGGTGCCATATGTGGATTGAGTTTGTTTCTGGTTCTCGCCTTGCTCCGAGGGTTTTTCTCAGCTACTAAAGCTGATGTGGCTTCCTCTCTAAATATAGTAATTTGTTATCAACTGATAAGAAAATTAGAGAAAGTATGTACCGGGCGGAACACCTGATGTGAAATTAATCAGAAATACACGCGGGTATCAAGAAAACGAAAGCTTTTTTTCCCCCTAGAAACTTTGGGCCAAAACTCGTACGTTTCATATTCTTTTTTAATATACGTTAAAGATTGCACTCTTCTATCTACAAGATAACGACGTAATTTCCATGGCATCACCATTTGGACCACTACTCTTATAAACCAGTCTTTACCAAGACTTCCCCAGGCTCGATTGCCAGCCGCTGCTCAGGAGAAGAACCCACGCTCCTTATCGTCGGAGACTCGACAGGGACCTAGTTTGGCCGGACTCGAAAGAGCGGCGGAAAACGAGCCTAAGACTTTCCGGCTTCGGTCATCTGAAACCCGCGATCAGAGTTTACAAACTGAAGGAACACTACTAAGAAATTATTAAGACGCCATTCTAACACATAATGGCTTTCGAAGTTTTGCGAGCGCTCACGCAATTTTCAAATTTGAGAACACTTCCAAATTCATAGTTTTGATTAAATAGATTCACCTGGGTTTTTCGTGGGATAGTCAGTTTTGAGTCCCGCCATTTTGCGTTCCTTTCCCAGGATTCCTTGCTTTACCAAGCTGTCAAGACAGACGGAAGCTACATTGTTCTCGTAATCCCAGGCAGTGATGCAGTCTCGGATCCAGGCCACTAACTTCTGTTTGTAGCCTTTTTTTCTCTCTGCCGCCATTTTAGTGAACAAGGCTTTGTCCAGGAACGTTCCTGTCGGAGACAGATCATTCACCTGCGACAAGAAGAGCGCCATGAACGAAACACTGAATGCTTAATTATTCTCTAATGAATTCCACTAAAATCAATTATAGATGCTGCTGAACTGGGGCAATATCCGTATTCTCGGTACTGGACTGGAATTAGCTTGCAATGCAGGCTCATGCGGGAGAATATCAGTAAAAAGAGAATTAATTTCATTTGTATTTGAAATACCCCCTGCATTAGACTCAGTTACAAGCTATACCGAGAATACGAATATTGTGCAGTACAGTCGAACCTCGATTATCCGGACTCGTTGGGACTAGACGAAATAGTCCGGATAATCGAGGGTCCGGATAATCGAAAATATGAATATTAATGAAGAACAAAACTGTTTAAAAGAAGCAACATTTAATGGTGAAAAAACACTTTCACAAATCGTTTGGAACGGTACGGATAATCAGGGTTTGACTGCACGAGAGAAACCAGTTTCAAAAAATGTTTTCGCTATTTTTTTTTTAAGTTAATATAAAAACACGTTCCTAAGGAAGGTTATCGAATGCGATATAAACAATAACAGGGTCGAGAGAAGGGGCGCAAATCACTGCGACAAAATCAAAGCATAGTTTTCAGAGTGACTCCCAAAAGACTCCTACTTTAACTTAAAATATTGCAGTCGTCTTAATAGGTGGCAGTTCTTAATTTTATTTCGTGTTTATGTTAAGAACGAGGCCAGTTTCCAGGCGCGGAAGGTTGCCTGTCTGTCTGTTTGTCTGTCTGTCTGTATCTTAAAAACACCATTTTCTTGCGGGAACCAGCGGGTAATCCCGAGCAATTTGGATAGATGGATCTTGTCCACTCGGGTAGCCAATCAAAGCTTAGGATTTGATTCACATTGCCTGCTAGGCGGAGCTAGCAAGGTAATAATGGCAATTGTTCCCTAAAGTCCTTCTTGTCTGCATGTTAAAAACAGTCCGACTCACCTGTACCCATATGTCAGTGTAATTTACAAATAAAAATTTCTTCTTTTCAAACTCGATCCCAATCTTTCCCATGGCTATCAGATCCAGGAGAACTGCACAAACTGCGCCACCTATCTTGGCTTTTGAGCCCTGACGTCCATCAACGTCTCCTGTACGGCTGTTCTGCCATAACAAGCAGTAGGCTTCTGACAACTTTAAAAAGAACACAGAAGACTGAGGATATTTAAAGATGGTTAGTCGCCTAGCGACTTAGGATGGTCAAATGGAGACGTACTCTCTCATCAAATTTTAGATTGCAATCTCGAAGATGTATCTGTTAAAAACAGCTTGATCAGTTAAAAAAATCGTCTGCCAAAATACAAATTCGCATAGTGCACGGCGCACTAATCAGGTCAATGTCTTGATATCGCAGGATATCAGGACAGTATTGCTGGTTTTCAGTGTCACGCAATTCAAAATAGATCAAAATAAAAGTCAAAACCGGTCAATAGATAAAGTACAGAATCTGGGAAATGAAAGAAAGTAAATATGCAAAGACTCTCGCCAAAATTCTGGTCACAGCAATTTTTCTTATGCCAGATANTGTTATAATGCAAGCTATTATATTATGGTGCCCATCCGTATGGGCACCAACATGGCGGCCGGAAACCAACAGAAACATCTGTCATTGAGGTTTGCTTCAAAAGCGTGAATTTATCCCTCGAGGAACTCTAAAACATTAAAATAATACTTTTTCTTAGACATGAACTGTTCAGATAGCCAAGTTCCCCGAAATAAGACACGTTTTTAACCATCATGACAGCTCTCTAGGCCGTCACGTAAATGCCCCGTCACGCAAAAGCGTAGAAATTCAAGCGTAGTGTATCACAAAACCAAAAACCCATTCGGAGCAAAAATTTGTATGAATATTAGTTTTCAGCTGCTCTTGTACATTGTTTAAGTAAAATCTCAGGAAGATCAATAGTTTTGTAGATCGAATTTTAGTGACGTCATGTGAAAACCAGCTACACACGGCTTCTGGTTGGCTATTTGCAAATCTAGATCAACAATAGCAGATATTATGTCAACTTACACTTGTTGCGAAACGCCATTTCTGTCGATATTCTCTGGTTTGATGAACTCATACCTCTTTCTTCCTATCGTTTCCAGTAACTTAAGGAATTTTAATTATTTAAATACTCCGTAAAAAGGTGAATGCCAGTGATCTAAGCTCTGCCGGGGATTCACGAAAGCTTTTTGTAAAAGGTCACAGTATTATTCTTACCTTGAGCGATCTTTGCTGAATGGCCTTCTTGTCGAAGAGTGGAGAAGCAAGAATTCCACAAACCGTGTATTTGATGTTGTCTACAACTTCATCCTCTTCAGAGGAGTCATTTACAGCCGCGGCGATACCACCGCTTATGGCTCCTGTACTACAGACAGCAGTGGCCATGTCATCCGTGTAGCTTTCTTTTACAATTTCGTGAGATGCGTGACCTTGTTATAGAAATGTTGTCGCACATTACATCATAAACTATAAAAAAAGGTTACAATTGCGTACAAAGAAACGTCACCAACACAGCATCACAAGACATATTACGTCATTCGATTATTTCTATAGTTTCTTATTTTTTAGTTTAATAAATCAATTTTTTTTTCTTTAGTTTCTCTGCTTAGATAGCAGTGTAATGCAAAAAATACTCCTTTAAAAGGTCCAAATGCTTTACTTTGATAAAATTGTAGTCAGTCATGCAGCTCCGATCTTTTATTCGTGACCTGTCAATTGCGCATGCAAGCAGATGGAACGAGAGATTAACCTCACCCAGTGTATAACCAATATACTTCCGGTTTGTAAGACATTGGCTGATGTCTCTTATTCTTTGGTGCATCTTATTTGTAAAAGGAGGTAAATAACATCTTATAGTGGAAGTAATTTGCACAACACAATGATTTTTGATCGGGAGAAAGGTCATCTTTCTACCACCCCTAAAAATTAATTTATCAAATATATGCGCAAGAGACTGATTTTGGTCGGCTTATTTATCATCTCAAAGTCCCATCAACAAAGGACTTTTAAACGCCACTGCTTTCCTTTTAAGTACTTAATTGTCTTGTATCCAACAGGGTACTAGGGCAAATACGCGTCCCCATATAAATGAAGTACCTATGGACCTCCCCTGTTAGGGTCCTTATGGCACGGAGGACAACATCGGTTATGAAATTTTAAATTTTTGTTTCACCTGAAAGTCTCTTGATTATCTGCATCAATTCAGAATTTATATCGGTTTTCACTCTATTCTTGATATTAAAATATAAAGACAACGTTTATTTTCAAACAGGAACAAGACAAAAATATTTGTCACCCTTTCAGTTTGCACGTACAGAACCATTGTAGTGCTTGTAAAACGTTTTGTTTAGCCACGTACCCGTTTTCGATGCCGTCGTGGTTTTCTAAAGCTCCCCAAATTAGCAGTGTGATATGCTATGTGAACGAATTTTCTCAACAGGCATGGCAGCCAAGTCTCTACTACTGCAGGTTTCAAGCCGAGAGCCACTAGCGAGCTTCTGCGATGTCTTCTTGGTTTGTAGAACAGGCGCTGAAGGATGGCAGACTTTTTCCCATCCTTCTTTTTTCCACAGGCATTTCTTGTTTAAATTCGTATTTTCAGTATATTTTTTCCTTAACATATCCACGCGCGTGGGAAACGCGCAGGTCGTGCGAGTTCTTAACGTTATCACGCGGGATCGCACAAAAAGTTGAAAAAGAGATTACGAACTTTTTGCCGACACCTGTCCGACATATGCATCATCGAAGTTCTATTCATAGATCGAGAAGTAGGCGCAGAATGTAATACATAAGTAGATGAGAAGGCCATCCGCCATGAATTGGGTTATCAGAACTATAAAGTTCTCAGTGTTCTGTGTTGCTTCGTTCAGCCGAACAGAAAACATCTTCATAAGAAAAGGACACAAATAAATAATTAGATGATACAACGAGTTGCTGTGAGGAAGTTCGAGGTTGCTATTCCATTGCCAAGAAAAATTTACAAGTGGTCAGCCGTAGGCTGGGGAGGCGCGGTGGCGTCATGGTTAAAGCGCTGGCTGTTCGAGTTCAAGCCCTGGCCGGGGACATTGGATTGTGGTTTTGGGCAAGATACTTTACTCTCACAGTGCCTCTCTTCACCCTGGTGTATAAATGAGTACCAGCGAATTTAATGCTGGGAGTAACCCTGCGATGTACCAGCATCCTAGCCGTCTTTATTATCGATTCGCCTTGAAATAACATCGCGAAAAGCAAAGTCCTTCCGTTTTGTTTCCCCATTCGCACTTTTATTGCTCAGGTCCTCAAAAGGGTCGCAATTTAATTGACTTTTCATTGAATAAACTGTTTAATTCTGTAGATAGTTTACAGAAGAAACATTTAATTCTATTCTTTACCGTTTTCCTGAGCAGTTATGTAGAAATTCTCTTGCCCATTCTTTACATCGTTCCTGTCGTTCTAGCGAAGCGAATTTTTTGATCAACACAATCACTGGATGTGTTGATATCACCGTAGTCTTTCATTAATTTAGCGCAAAATAAATTGTGGAATCGACAAAAATAATACCGCTATTTTCACTGTATGTATCAATACCGTCCAACCCCTATTACGCGGCCACCTATTAAACGGCCATCACCATAAGGCGGCCAGTAATCAATATCCCGATGAGGGCTTTTCTATTGTTTTACCTCTATTAAACGGCCAGCCCCCTCTAAACAGCCACTATCCATTTCCCCGAGGGTGGCCGTTTAATAGATGTTGAACTGTATAAGGCTTCTGTGCTAAGGAGATCGATCACTGTATTATTTTGAGGTATTTCGGCCACATACAAAATTGCTTTTAAATTGAAAGAAACCTGAAAATAGTAGTGTACTAAGATAAAAAAAACACCAAAGATACGATAAGAAACCATAAAGGAGCAAGGATGGTTAAGGATGGAGAAGATTGACACGGATTACAAAAGACGAACTTGAAAAATTTGCTAAACTTTTCAAGATGTGTAAACTGTAGGTTTAAATGATCTTTAAATTTGTCGTTCTGAAACCGATTGATTGCTCTTTGAAAAGCATACTTTGAATTATTGGCAAATGAGCTCAACAAGGTGGAGCCACAATTAGCAGCAATCGATGTTGGACTAAAATAAACAATCACCAATTTCTAACCACTCAGCAACAAAATCTCGCTTTGTCGCGTGGTTGGCAAATTTTGTTTTTAATTTTGTTAAGGAAGGATTAAAAAATAATTTGACACGAAACGCTATTCATATGTAAAACTGCTCCGTTTAAACACAGCACCTTGAAACCTGCTGACTAAGTAGTGTTTGTTCTTGGTAATGAAGAAGAAATTAGAGGAATGCGTTCGTCTCATCAAAAACATTTCGCGCTAAGGTGCAAAACGAATCAGCTACCGGACCACTAAAAGGGTTTGGTTCGTGTCAAATTGAATTTTTATTATCTCAAATCTTGTGTCTTTTTATTACTCTTCTGAGGAAAGGTTTTCTTAAGCGGTTTGAAATGCCAGTTGGATTTGTTTCCCCACACAGTTTGCAGTTTGTTTTGTAAAACTCTTTTCATTCATTGTTGCCGCGGAGTGCGGTTTTTAGAACAAAAGAATCTTCGCAAGTCAATGAACTCAATGCTCGATTGTTCTCTTGAAATAAATCACGTCACACCTTTTGGTTTCATTTCCGTCCAAGCTCCGATGAGATCGCAAGTCTTTCACAGACGAAGGGTCTTCATTTGCCCCGAAAATTTGTAGGTGTTACGTTGGTGAACATGGCTGCGGCCACGACTCGGCGCAGGCAGATTTTCGTTCGGCCAACAAGTGAGATACTTACCGTATTAGACTGGCGACAGGTTTCTAACGACAGAGCAGAACAATGGCGAAGTGAGACGTGTTTAGATGAAAAGTTTTTCGAGAATGAAGAACGCAATCTCCGAACTGGTTACGTTTGTGGCAGTTACGAGCTTACAAGCGAGCAGATCGACGAATCTGAAAGCGAAATGGCAACACAGGAAGAACCAGACAATCCTGAGGTCAAACGAAGTGTTCTTAAGGTAAATCTGAAGCCGGCCTGTGTTCAAGTCAAGCCAAGGCTTGTGAAAGCTCAATCGATGGCCAGTTTGCCTAGAAAAGAAGGGTCCGGTGGCAAACTACCCCAAAGCACTGATCAAGATATGAGCAAACTTAATCGACGAAAGAGCTCGTTAGATGTGTCTCTTGCAAAACTTCGAGTCGAAATGGTGAGTACAAAGTGACCTTGTTTCCGTTAATTGATCTTAAGCAACGGTGTCGAGTACCTTCGAAGTTTCTTTGCGTGTGAAATGATGAGAATTGACTTGCACTAGCAAAATACTTTACCATATGTGTGTCGTTGACTGAAATATTGCTTTTAGCCAGTATTATCACTACAGTACACGAAAAAGAAAAACATTTTGATTGCTTCAAAACATTTTCTTTTTTCCCAACTTCTAGTTTTCTGTTGACGTACGCACTTTGTCGTCATCTACCATTTTTTAATTTCTCTGGTTTCGCCGAAATGCAAGAGGAACACAATGGTCGTAATTTTCTATTGAATTCACTCGCTGCATTCTTTGTCTCGAGTCATTTTTTTTTTTGCCTCGTAAGTGTGAACTTATTTCGCGTTCAGTCTTTTGTTTTCGCATGGCGGTCTTGCTAAATATCTCTAAGGGTTTTGAATCATAAATTGAACGAAAGTTAATCGTTTACGCACGCCACAAACTTGTGAGTAAAGCCCCGTTCACACTGCGCCGGAGAAATTTGAAAACGGCGTTTTAACCCTGAAAACGCATCATATGTTTTCTATACACACTATACCGGAGAAATTTGAAAACGCAACAATATCCAGCCCGCGGTTTGGGTTTGTGGTTGGGGAAGGCTCGGGCGTGAAATCGTATGATTATCGTAACGTCGTGTCGTTTTCGAAAAGCTCCGTTTTCCAAATGTTTTCCGTCCACACTTGAACGCAAAGCCGACGATTTCAAAGTCCTCCGGTTTGAAGACCGTTTTCGAAAAGCTGCGTTTTCGGTTCGGGTTAGTGTGGACGGTAGTTCTTACCGTAGAAATAAAGCTGCGTTTTCAAATTTATCCGGAAATGTTGTCGGCTTTTTTTCAATGGTAAAAACGGTCACAATCAGCAACAAAGAAAGCTTTTTTGCGAATACGTCTTTTACATGAAGTGTACAGTTTTCAAAATGCACTGCAATATTTTTATTGGGAACAAAATTTTTTTCTCAGTTGTACCAAAACAGACGGCAAACTGATAACGACGAACACGAACTTTTTTACGGAAACAATAAATTACGGTAGCATATTTTGCCATACCTCCAGTCTAAAAGACTAAGTTTGTTTGTTGTCGGAGTTAGAAGTTGATCGGCCGGAAGATTGAACAGTTTTCCCTTACAAAATATTAACTTTTTCAGTATAACGTCGTTTTTACCTATTTTTTCGGCGTTATTTCAAAGAAATATAATTTTGGCTCACTTTTCGTTTAGAATTCAAAAAATGAAGTGAAAGCGACAAAATTAATGCGAAAACGGTTCGTTTTAAGCACTTATTCTGAGAATCCGGGGCCCTTACGAAGAGATTCTTCAAATTTTCACTTTTGTTGTTCGTTGTCTCAAGGTAAACAGTACTGAACCAAGTCAGGTGCCTTATAATATTGATCTTAATCCAAAGGCAAACAAACTGCATATTTTAAAAATTGAACATATTGTTCGTCAGTCACGTTCTTGAACAAAATCAGGATGTTCTGTCGACATTCAAATCCTTTTATTGCGCAAAAGGAGGTCTTGTTTGTGGAAACACTTAAGGGTGTAATTTGAGTTATTTCAGTTAAGTACTGCACTGGATTTCTCGGATGTTCGCTTTTGTCTTACACTGCTTACGACAAGCATTATAGAGTCAATTCAACTGATATACAAATCTTGGTTTAATCTTGAAGCAAACAAGCGACAAATGGTCACATACTTTGGAAATTAAACGCATTAGTGCCAAAGCACGCTTCGTGGATAAAGTCACGGAGGTTTGACGCAAAAGCGTTGCCTGAAAAAATGTTTAGACTCCATTTTCCTGGTGACGCTTTAATGGCCAGTAACAGGCTTTTAGAACGTGCGGAACTCGCGATAACGCACGAGGGAAGAAATGTCGCGCATGGAAGAAGAAAGATGCTGTAAATCGCTTTCGAAGCAAGCTTTCTTTTTGGCTAAATCGTTGTAACCTTATTTATTCTTGAAGTTTCTAATGATATTCAGAGCGAGATGCTCATTAAAATGGGCACTAGAGTAAGTTATATTTTCAACGTAAATGTTAGTTTTTATGGTTAGATTTTTTGGTTTCCTGCGAAGTANAAGAGATTCTTCAAATTTTCACTTTTGTTGTTCGTTGTCTCAAGGTAAACAGTACTGAACCAAGTCAGGTGCCTTATAATATTGATCTTAATCCAAAGGCAAACAAACTGCATATTTTAAAAATTGAACATATTGTTCGTCAGTCACGTTCTTGAACAAAATCAGGATGTTCTGTCGACATTCAAATCCTTTTATTGCGCAAAAGGAGGTCTTGTTTGTGGAAACACTTAAGGGTGTAATTTGAGTTATTTCAGTTAAGTACTGCACTGGATTTCTCGGATGTTCGCTTTTGTCTTACATTGCTTACGACCGGCATTATAGAGTCAATTCAACTGATATACAAATCTTGGTTTAATCTTGAAGCAAGCAAGCGACAAATGGTAACATACTTTGGAAATTAAACGCATTAGTACCAAAGCACGTTTCGTGGATAAAGTCACGGAGGTTTGACGCACAAAGCGTTGCCTGATAAAATGTTTAGTCTCCATTTTCCTGGTGACGTTTTAATGGCCAGTAACAGGCGATAACGCGCGAGGGAAGAGATGTCGCGCGTGGAAGAAGAAAGATGCTGTAAATCCGACACGCTTTCGAAGCAAGCTTTCTTTTTGGCTAAATCGTTGTAATCTTATTTATTCTTGAAGTTTCTAATGATATTCAGCGCGAGATGCTCGTTAAAATGGGCACTAGAGTAAGTTATATTTTCTACGTAAATGTTAGTTTTTATGGTTAGATTTTTTGGTTTCCTGCGAAGTAGTCAATGTTCTTCTCCTCTGTTCCCTTGTTCAGAACTCTTTAAGGAGACAAGATATGGAGTTACTAGAACAACTCCTCAGCCTTAACAACAGCATACAGGACTTCAAGCTTTCCCAGCATGCTTTTCTGTCTGACTCCTCTGACGAATCCGACCATTCGGAGATACCCGTAGAAAAGCCACTGAAAACAAAACGCTGGCACAGCAGAGGAAGTCTGGCCTCGGACGGAAGTGATTACCACAGCGAGTCAAGTCGGTCATCAATAGGAAGTAATCCCTCTCTCAGCGGAAGTGACGTTGCAAGTTATGACAGCGGTCACGAGAGTTGGACTGGCCTGAAGTCTTGCAGAAGGAGAAGTAAAGGGAAGTTTGGATCGGGAGACCTGAGGCGAGTTTCCTTTGGAACAGTCAGCGAGCGAAGTGGAAGCGGAAGCAAAATCTTCAACAACGGAAGTGAAGTTGTATTTCCGGCTCAAACTATTCGGCGTAACTCGGATTTCCGCGTGGCCGAGATCAAGCCGATCAGGACTCTAAGTAAACGACAAAGTACAATATGGTAATCTTTAGCTGCTTTTACCCGGATATCAAAATTTTAAACCCTTTCCTTCCTTCCTTTTTTGTGGGTCATGAACGATGGGCATTGGTTAGTAAAGGGTTAAGTACGTTTGTAACTGTCGACATTTTCCGCTTATGTCAGTGAAGTCTTCTAGGACCCTGTTGTTTAGGATTCTGGAAGGTTAGCTAGGACGCACCAAGGAACATCTTTCTCACGCTTTATTAGTGTCCCGCAAGTAGTTCAGCGAAAGTCCCGCCAGGTCATTAAACATTGTCTCCGCCCAAGTCGCCATTAGCCTGCGAACGTATTTCCGGCTGTCGTTTGTCTCCAATCGGAGATGACGTCGGCTAGAAACATGATTGGAAATTCCCCGATAAAAAACCCCGAGCGTACTTCGCCCTTCGTTACCTAAAGCCGACCGTTATAGATCGTATTCCTAAATGATCGTCCTGATTTATATTATATAGCCTCTGTCTGACGGAGATTTAAGTGTATATGAATGGACAAGCTTGAATTGTTTTAAGCTAAAATTTTTATAGAATTATAGCAAGCGCCCTAGCTCAGACTCGTAATAACGCAAATACAATTTTTTTGTCTGTAAGCGAAAGATTTTTCTCGTAGCAAAAAAATATTGTGACACAGCTCGCTTAAGGATGGCCATGTATGTATACAGTATAGTCAATAATGCTATGACAAAATTTACTCAATTTTTTATGATATACAGAGCGAGATCATATTCAGGTAACCCAGGTTTAGCGAGAAATTTGATTTTGGTTTCAACTTTCCGGTGAGATTTCTGTTTACATTGTTTGTTCTTTGGTTTTGGGCTTGAAAAATCTCAAACTACTCAAAACATAAGCAGTTAAACACATTTTTGTATCAAAAAAGAACTCGATCGTTAGGCTACCTTTTAATCCTGGGATAGCCTTAAACAACTTTCGAACAAAATAACCCGGCCAGAACGGCTCAGAAAGGAATAAATTGATGAACGGTGACATACAATAAATTATGTCTAGTTTATGATAAAAGTGAATTTTTATCCATCCATTTTTATCCATCATTGTTACAGACCCAAAGAAATTGGTTATAACCAAACAAAAAATACATTATCGCTTAACGGCAACCGAAAATGTACGGATAATAGGTGATATTCATTTAGCTTTTCTTTCGTTATTTGTTTCCTTTGCTTTAGTTTTATTTTAGAGAATCTTTATAGACAAGACATAAAATATGATGCTTTGACACACGCGTTACATTCGTGTTCGAAATAAAGAGTTTTTATTGATTAGCTTAAGTTCGTGATATCTTCGATACATTATCGTATTTTCTTCGTTTTTCCGTCCGAAGCCCTTGACGCTTATTCTTAGTGTTGTGGAAGAGCCTGTAATCTCTGTTTCAGGGTTTTTAGGACATTTGAACTCGCTCATCAAGAATGACGGCTATTAATTAAATAAAATGACATATGGCTGATTAGTTGAAGGAATTAATAAAATCATGATATTGTATTGTATCAAAAGTTCAGTGTGTATGCTTGTATTTGATAGAGTGAAGTTAACTCAAATAATTGCACCTTTTATGGTATTTTCACATGACGTCACGGCAGCTATATTGGTGTTCCAAAACAATGAAATGGTGGCCATGTTGGTGTACCAAAACAATTCTGTGGGAGTTGAACTCTTTTCTTATGTAAACACTTTCTTTTGTCCCAATAAATTTGCATGGCTGCTGGCCACGTGAGTGGAAAAGCTCTATGGCAATTTCTCATTTGTGGTATCCGTGCGTTTCATTTGAAACCAGTGAGGAGATTTTGGGAATATATATGTCATCGTTTCCTTTGTCATCAATCTAGTTTCCAGGGTCGTACTGTTTCTCTTTCATTGAAATGAGGTTACCTCGTGATAAGTCTCTCAATTCTCGTAATTTGCAAGACTCACTTTGAGTTAACATCGTGAGGAGAAAATAGAGAATAATCACAGGTTTCCTCGAGAGGGCGTTGCATAACTACTTTATACCATGCCATAGAAAATACAGTGGTTAAACACAACCAATGCGGCATACGCGCGGAGCATGATGGGAAGATTAGATGCAATAACGTCGATTATTAAATAAGTGAGATACTACGCGCGCTCTCATTGGTCGATAGGTGTGTTTAGATGAGAGTGTAAACACGGTTTTCACGTTTTAGATACGTGCGTAGTTTTGAGAAATATTTTTTAAAAGCAATAGAGCACTTTTCCTGTGTTTACATAACCTCATCTAAACACTTGGGGGGTTGGGAGAATTCTCGAAAATTATGCAAACCCGAGACGCAGTCGAGGGTTTGCATAATATAACTGTCGCCAATTCTTCCAGCCCCCCTTGTGTTTAGATGAAGCTATGTAACACGGAAAAGATGCTCTATTGCTATACAACGGCTTTCCTGTATTCTGATTGGTTGTATGGCATTCTGTGTTTTAGTGATTCTCTTTCGTAGTTGCTCTTTATTTCAGACCTTACCCCGTTATTTGCTGTAGCTCGTAATAGTCTGCTTTCCAGTTCCTCGATTTATACAAGATTTTCGAAAAGCAGAATTTCCAAATCCACCACTATCTTACGGGGGGACCTCCCATATCAAAAGACCGGGAATGCTTGCCGGATCCCTACAGGAGAACAATCTTGGTGTGGCTTGAGCTTGATTTGAGCCCCTAATTAAAAGATACAGATACCACTTTAAAATGAACGTGACATTTATGATTTCTTCAATTGCAACCTTAAAAGATACCTTGACAGCCAAAAATAGTAGCATTTCGCCCTGAACACCTAAATTCCCTATTTACTTCCTTAAGCGAGGCGAAGTGCATCCCTGACCTTTTCGCATGGGAGCTCCCCTCTCCCGGGTACTATCTGCACAATTCTCATTTTCAGTTGCATGTCAGTTGAGACTTCCTCTCTTTTGTTTTGATGGTGTTGTGTTTATAGCTGGTATTTCCCGGAGGGGAAAAATACCACTCGCTGATGTTTAAGTAATCGATGTCTCTTTCGGTTTTCAAAATTCCTTTAAGGTTTTTCTTTGGTACTGACCCCTACTAGGCTAAATTGAGACAGTGCCAATTCTTGTCGGTGGGGCAAATTTTAATCTTGGAGGGAAGATGAATTTAAACAGTGCCATGATCTGGTAACAGGCTTTAATTACTTGTTGTCAAAACACAACCTTGCCAGGTGGCTGTGTTGTTTTCAAGTTAAGTCTGTTTTAAGAATACAAGAGCTTTCCGAAAGGCGAAAAAAATGATAGGTTAAAATCAAAAGGACAATACAAAAGACCCAACAAATTATTTCTATTCTAAAGTTAATGGAATGTTTCACGAACTTTCTAAACAAACTTTATTCATTTTCCGGCCAGAGTTAACCTAATTGCTATTTTGCTTTCTAAGCTGTATAAACAAACAGCGACGTGGTCTTTCAATTTCTTAATTCAGGGCTGTACAGAAATAAATATTATGTAATAAGTAGGAAAGTAAATTTTAAATTTACTTCTTTGGCCGAAGAGGTCGGATCAACGAAAGCAGACTTCAGATAACACCTTACATGATTATCTCACTTCAAAGGTTTTCCTGGCTAAGGTTCTACTCTCAAGTATAGGCCTTGGTCAGGTGCGTTTTTCGCTTGCTGTCAGTCATTTCAGCCGTCTAAGCATGAAGCTCTTGTGTTATGCAAATTTTAGTAGTTTCATTTCCCTTTCTGAAAATGTCACCTTTTTAGCATAGATTAGTGGAGACATAGGTGCTTTTAACCGGATGTTTCAGTAGTAGGTACAGCTTTCGTTCCATTTGCGTGGAAAACCACTTAAACGCTAGAATCTCAGACACGAACCTCGTCTGTTCGGAATCAACCGCAAATTTGACCATAGTTTCCAGCGAAACCTTTAGCTCTGGTCTCTCGAGGTAAGATGGTTCATGACGAGGCGAACTTTAAATGATCATCTCACCGTAAGAAATCTCCCTCCCTCTTGTATCCTTGATCTTAAACTAAATAATTCTCTTGCCGTTTGCCTTACAGATTTGTGTTGTTCATTTTCTTGGCGGGGGTCTGACTGATTTGGAAATTTTAACAGTCTAAAGAAAGGAGAACCCCTTGTGCATTTTTCGCTCTAGGTGATGAGTTCAAGGAGCTGGAAGGTTTGTTGGACGAGAGTTACCTTCTCTCTTAGCAACGTAACTTTAGCATGTGTAGTCTTTCTAACTTCCTTGGTTTTCTAGGCAGCAGCTTGCAATGGTGATTGAACACCGCCGAACACCTTTTTTTTTTTTAATTTTATCGAGAAGACAAAATTGCGTAAACATTTTCTCTGCAGTTTAGTGCATTACGAAATGGAAAATATAGTTTACCCTCGCTCCAAGTGTTAAGTCAGATTTAAGTGGCAAACTGTTTCGTCGAAGGATAATCTTGCGTTTTAAGCGGTTTAAGCTTTATTTTCATTTCAATGCCAAAAATGGCGCCCCGTGTTCGCCGTATTATTCGATATAACACAACGATAACAATGTATATTTTAAAGAAGATTACATACTAGAATTCACACGAATGTCGCTTTCGACGGAGGTGAGACCCGTAAGAGATTGACAGAACTGATAATTGTGGAGCCTTGTGTCACTTAACGCACGGCGCAGCCAAAGAAAGGTGTAAAAAAAAGAAAATTGCGGTCGTTTTCTTCCTTTTAAACCATCAGACCAATTCTCATATCTGCAAGCTGAGAATAAGCCATTTGACGAACAAATTTCCATGATTGTTCTGTAAATTAAATATATTTTCCGGACTGAACATCTGTCACTGTTTTTTTCCTACCAACATGCAAATGGTTAGATCACTCTTCGAGTTTCCCTCGAAAGTCAACAAATGTTTCTCCATCGAATTAACGAAAGCGCATTTGCGCTTTCGAGTAGATTAAGACGAAGGCTTTGCTTTTGATATACTAACTTTATTTTAAATAATTCGGTAAATTATTCCAGGCGGTACAGGAAAATTCTACCCACTTAGAAAATAAATAAAATATGGAATGCCGCTTTAAGCTGTGAATATTTTAATTTTTTTCGTCTATGACGTTGTTTTTATAAAATAAAAAGGGCAATTTCTTGTATAGGTAAAGCTGTATTGCGCTTCATGTCAGAATCATTGACAAGTCAGTCGTCGCATTTTGACATTTTAAGTTGCAATGCAACAAAAGAAAAATATATATAAAAAAAAAAGGTATTGCCATTGTGCAGAATATCAATATTATATCACACGGAGGTCTCTAGTCACAGCATAAAATTATTTAACGGCCCCTAGGGCTGAACGGCTTGTTTTTATACTAGTTTCTCGCGTTTATAAATTCATATTTTTAAGATTTGCACAACAAAAAAACCGAAACTTGAATTCTATTTCAAAAAAGTAATTTGTAGATGTCGCAAGTTGTGTAAATGAACTTGCCCATGCAGGTAAATATTCCGATTACTTAACATTCTGAAAAAGCGTTTCCTCAAATTTAATTCGTGATGCTGCTATTTAAAGTTCTCTCCGAAGGTTGCTAGAGTTGATCGCTAATGTATAACACTGATGTCTTCGGACCGAAATGATTCTGTAAACTTGAAGTGTGTACGGAACATAAAATATCTTTTACTCCTGCCAAGGTAACGTCAGGGTTATGTTTGAAAACCAGTGGAGAGGGAAGGAGATACTCCCTTACATCAACTAAATAGCTATGTGCGGCGCCAAGGGTATGGTATTCGAGCGATCTTGGCCTGAAATAGGGTATAGATTTGGATCTTTTGCACTCTGGCTAGTTAATAATAATATGACCCATTACAACTGAAGAATTGCAAGCCTCTTCGACTCCTCTTCACAAATGTTCACGCCAATTAAAGCCATTTCTGGTTACCTGAGCCGGAGACGTGTATATTAATTAACAATTAGATTATGAGCTCGAGATTTTAATCGCGCTTAGAAATCGAGCGAAGAATCGAATTGTTTTAGTATAAATCTACTATCTTCTTCACNTTTTCTTTCGTTATTTGTTTCCTTTGCTTTAGTTTTATTTTAGAGAATCTTTATAGACAAGACATAAAATATGATGCTTTGACACACGCGTTACATTCGTGTTCGAAATAAAAAGTTTTTATTGATTAGCTTAAGTTCGTGATATCCTCGATACATTATCGTATTTTCTTCGTTTTTCCGTCCGAAGCCCTTGACGCTTATTGTTAGTGTTGTGGAAGAGCCTGTAATCTCTGTTTCAGGGTTTTTAGGACATTTGAACTCGCTCATCAAGAATGACGGCTATTAATTAAATAAAATGACATATGGCTGATTAGTTGAAGGAATTAATAAAATCATGATATTGTATTGTATCAAAAGTTCAGTGTGTATGCTTGTATTTGATAGAGTGAAGTTAACTCAAATAATTGCACCTTTTATGGTATTTTCACATGACGTCACGGCAGCTATATTGGTGTTCCAAAACAATGAAATGGTGGCCATGTTGGTGTACCAAAACAATTCTGTGGGAGTTGAACTCTTTTCTTATGTAAACACTTTCTTTTGTCCCAATAAATTTGCATGGCTGCTGGCCACGTGAGTGGAAAAGCTCTATGGCAATTTCT